AGGCCTGAAAGAGACCAGAGAGAGACCTGAGAGAGACCAGAGAGAGACCAGAGAGAGACCAGAGAGAGGCCTGAGAGAGACCTGAGAGAGACCAGAGAGAGACCAGAGAGAGGCCTGAGAGAGACCAGAGAGAGACCAGAGAGAGACCAGAGAGAGGCCTGAGAGAGACCAGAGAGAGACCAGAGAGAGACCAGAGAGAGACTAGAGCGAGACCACAGAGATTTCTCTGTGTATAAACCCGGCAGACTGCACCTCCAGGATACGTCACGTCCTGTCCTACGTTTGTTATTTGACGTCATATGAAACCAAGAATTGTGCAGCACTTTTGGAACTGTGTTTATTAAATGTATATAGAATGTACTTAACACAAGAGAAAGATGCATTGTACCAGGTTATAGCAAAGAAGCTAATTTCACCGGTCATCCCTGGGTGGACATTTATAAAAGCATATGTAAAGAAATACCCATAACAACTAGCCTTAGCCTGGTACTGTACGGATCCAGACTTCAGATGCTCTCTTTCTGCTCCGTCTCTCCAGGTGCTTGACTCTGAATATTTCATAGTCTCAGTCTCTGTGTGACTGGAGCACAAAGGCCGTGTTCAGAGCCCAGATCAGCAGCAGCCCAACACAGAGGCCTGACAGTCCGACCCGCAACGCAAACCATTTTCAGCACTTCTAAAATTAAATTAAGAGAACAGTCACAAGGCCAGACACGCTGAGGTCTCTCTGCTTCTCACACCAAACATTCCATGGCAAATGAAAAAGGAGACAGCGGCAGAGAATCCAACTGCAGACAATGACCCGTCTGTTCCAGCCTCGAGTGAAAACCCGTAAAGCAGCGTGTCAGAGATAAAGAGGGGCATAGAACCCATGGACATCCATATTCATACAGCAGACTATCACACGTGTAGAACCAGCCAGCAGGACTTTAAAGGGCCCTATCTGTCATTATTAAAGGTCCCTAATCTGTCGTCATTAAGGGGCCCTAATCTGTCGTCATTAAAGGGCCCCAGTGTTTCCCACACATAGACTAATCTGTGGCGCACCGCCACAGATTAGAGACCGCCCGCCACAAATTGCGTTTCGTATTATTATATATATATTTTTTTTGTTACGCTATTTAAAACATGCATCGTCTAGTGCCGCCGCAGCGGTCAATTTGACAGCGGGGAGGGGGGTTTAAAATGTGGCGGCCCTTCGTAACTCTCACTCAAGCTACGCGTCTCTCCCACATACAGAGACCTACACACACACAGCCCCTCCCCTTCGTGCACACCGCGTGTCTCCGTCTCCATCAGCGATCATCGCTGTAAGCAGCTGTGTCTATTAATTTACCGCGGTAAAGTGGCCCGCATCTTTCAGCTCTATGAACATGCGGCCCGCATCGGGGAAAAGACGGTGCGCGTTTTGTTGAGAACTTACGGTAACAGCGGAACGTCCTTTCGGAGTCACCCATTTTTATCGAACAGAAAGCGCGCTGGGGTCAGGGAGACACGTTTTTGTGATTAAAACCTTATAGAGATGCCACCCGGCACACATAGCACCAGCCCCCTACGATTCCTCCGGCAGATTGTGAGTCCTCAGGAGGATAGCCACTCTATTGTTTACATGTATAAAGTACACAATTTGGTCCGCTAGTGCAATTTTCAAGTATTGTAACTATTTACTGGAATAAGGTGTGCGACTAATTTCACTTGACTCATGACCTTATTATTGCCCTCTGCCACTGTACCAAAGACCAGAAACTTTTACTGTAGAAATATTGAGAAATATTGAGGTAAAGTAGCCATTTTGGTCCAAAATACCTCCAAAATAGTCAAAACATGTCACTTTTGATCTACTGTAACTTTTTACTGTAAAAAGGTGTGCGACTAATTTCACTGGATTCATGACCTCAAGATTGTCCTCTACCACTGTACCAAAGACCAGACACTTTTACTGTAGAAATATTGAGAAATATTGATTTAAAGTAGCCATTTTGGTCCAAAATAGCCTAAAAATGGTCAAAACATGTCACATTTGATTACTGTAACTTTTACTGTAAAAAGGTGTGCGACTAATTTCACTGGATTCATGACCTCAACATTGCCTTCTACCACTGTACCACCACTGCGACATGGCAGCTCCAGAGTTTGTCCATGTAACATTTATAACGTTTTAAATCTTTAATACGCACAATTTAATGTCAACAAAGATAGAGGAGGGACAAAAAGTTTTATATCCAAATTCGGTTGCAGCCTGCAGCTAGCAGAGCAGCACGTGCTGCTTCCTGATGCGTGTCGCACTCTCTGCATACATTACTTTAATATTCTTACCTGATGTTGAAACGTGTCCTAAAGTGAAATAAACTGCAGATAGCCCGTGTGGGGGATATCTGCGAATGGGGAAGAGTTGATACTATTTTTCTACAGACTTTTTTTACTGTCCATGCTTGTCTGTTCTTGTCTTTAAAGTGGTTCCGGATACAGCGGTCTTCATGTTGTAGCTAGATCCAGTCCTGGCATGGCATGGCATGGTCTGCATCATTCTGTTCATTTATGCAGAGTTAGATGTTGAGCTGCAGTTGTGCTGAAGGCATCGCAGCAAATGATACTACAGCCCAGAGCGGAAAAACAAACCGGGCTTCCGCTTACAGTTAAAAACATGTACCGGAAATACCATATTCAAGTCTGGGAAACTCATCTGTCATTGTTAATTTTTTTTTTTAGCTTAGTTGATTAGAGTCAAAATAAATGCGACGAATTTATATTATAGCAAATCATACGAAATTAGAAGCTAAAATAGGTTGGTAGCAATAAGTATTTAAAACTACATTCTGAGAAAATCCTGAAAAATAAAGTCAGGATTTTCTACTTCCGGGTGGATCATCAAGACTATTGGTGCTCCCAATTGTCAATCATTCTGGTGCGAAACAAGAGTCCACAAACCATTCTGACCCGTGCTGGAAGAAGTGCTTTGTCCATTTGTAGAGCTAAATAGTCAGAAGTGTGTGTTTATAAGACTGTATGAGTAATAGAAAATTGATGAATCAAATGTTAATAAGTCTTCCTCAAGAATAACTTCTTGTTTCACCTGGTAAATGTTTTTCTAGGTTACAGATCTAATGTATAAATGCAGTTTTGAAAAACCATCAATGCATCTTCCATCTGCCCAGAACAGGTGTCTCCAACTGTTTTCACCAAGAGCTATTTTCCCAAGACTAAAAACACAGAGCTACTCCTTTAAAAGATAAGAAACGTTATCCCAATTAGAGGTGATATATTGGTGAGAAAAAGCCTGGTATCGGGTCATTATTTTTCATTACATATTCATTCCTTGTGCACAAAGTCTAATAAATAATACATTGTGAAATATTCAGTTTACTTGATTTGGTCATTTCTTCTTCCTTTGGCGAGCTACCTGGAAGTGGGAGGAAAACTACTGTTGGCTCCCGAGCGACAGGTTGGAGACCCCCGGCCTAGAATGACTAAACCAAGGGGTCTAATCAGCATGAGAAAGTTCAAGAAACAACAACTTCAACAACAAGTGGACTTTTATTGGGACGGAGGCTAAACTACAAAGCAAAGCAACATTTATATACATCATCTCAGATCGATAACACTGATGTAGAGGAGTCTCCCTGATGGGGCTTTGCAGACATGTTTCTACAGCAGTTGTCCTACACAGAGCATAATAAAAAGTCTTATAAAACATTTTCAGAATGTTAATAGACAGTGTATAATACAAGTTTAAAAGTAACACTGTTGACAAAGTTTAAAAGTCAAGTAACATTCTGCAGATTCAGCCTCTCCACATGTTCAGCTGAAACTGTTAAACCAAGATCCAATGTTTCCTTAAGGCCATGGCAGAACGCAGATGACACGATGTAAAGAAATACCACAAAAGCCATTTGTGACCCATGACGGTCTACGATAACGACTGCTGTGTAATCAGAGAATACATCAGAAAGACGAGTGTCTGCACTCACTCTTCAGTGCAAAAAAGATACTTCATGGTCTGCTGTGCAAAATAGTGGTAAAAGGAAAAACAGTTTTCAAACATTTGATTCTATAAAAGCTACTGCAGACTGAAGGCACATTCTGAGCAGTATTGCACTCTGGGACAGTCCAGAAGCTGAACTTCCACATTGCACACATCAGGGCTGTATCTGAATGTCCGAACTCGCCCTCATTTGGGAACTTGTGTTTTAGAGCTGCCTGAGGATCCAGCAGGGGAACAGTAGAACACTCAACATTTCCTACAGTGCAGCGTGAAAAATAATGTTGCTGGACTGGTCAGTAGAGACCAGTATTTCACAATTATTTCAAATTAGAATTCTGTAAATTAGCTGGAATTGGGCAGAACATTATGGCTTTCAGTTTAATTAGGCAGTAGGTGATGTCAAACATGCTTTGGAGGTCCTGGCCTGAAAAGTGGTACAGACTATGCTTTGCCAGAGTTTGGAAACAACAGCGGATACAACACGACTGAATGAAAGCTGTCGTGTTGTTTCACACTTGGTTGCTCCGAGATTAAGA